TCAAAAATAAAAAGATAAGAATTCCTCATTTTAATAATTTTTTCTAATGCACATAAATGTACTCATGTTGTGTAGAAAGTTTGAGCTGATTCTGATCAAGTTTAATTTTTTTACAAATTTTTAAAGCTGCTCAAAAATTGGGCCAAAGCCTCTGCTTGACCAAATTTAATGAAATGGTTAGGTGAAGACCCTCCAATTTTATAATTTTTTTCTAACACATATACATTTCGTTATGATGTGTATCAACATTGAGCTGATTCCAATCAAAATTGAATTTTTTAATGAATTTTAAAAGTTGTTTCAAAATGCCATTTACTGTTCAGCTCACTTAGCATGCTTTGTGGGAAACCCTGTGCATAAATAAAGACTTCATAGACTTAAATAACCAAAGTAATACAATTTTATGTAAGTTTCTTACAATTATTGTCTTCATCTTCATCGATTTCCACTTCCTTTCGTTTCTTCTTTTTCTTATCATTCTCTGAGCTGCCCTTCCCTTCATTTGACCACGTCTCCGAGGAACGTCCACGCTCGTTAGCAGCAAGAAACTCCATAAAACCAGGCTCTGACTTTAGTTCCTCGAGTTCATTGACAAGTGACGCTAACTGACTTTGATGAAAATCCTCATTGAGCTTCAGTCTCTTACTCTTCCTCCCCTCCTCCTTCTCTTTCTGTCCCTCCTCTTCAATACTTGAGTCCTTAGTTGACTTCCTCTTCTTCTCATAGATTTGATTGGTTGAACTGCCAGTAGAGTATCTGCTCCAAGGACGAGGGATGGAAGAGTCTCCGAAAGACTTTGCTTCGATTACTTGGATCTTTGATGTGCCAATGTAAGTATTGTTGAAATATTTAATGGACTCTTGGGCTGAAAATGTATCGGAATAACCAACGAAGGCAAATCTACGGAAAGTACCGGAACGAGTGTACATGAGTTTAACATCTGTTATCTATAAAAAATAGAGATTTATAAAGATATAATTATAACTCAAGGTATATCAATGTACTAATAAATTTTTTATTATTTATTTATTTATTTTATTTTTATTTATTTAACTTTACAGTGCAACATAAAATAGACATACAGAGAGGAGGAGTGAAAGTACAGTAGAAACACTGATGGTCTAACATAGAACACTATGTCAGCCAGGGAAAGAAGAGAATATAAGGGGAAAAACACACACAATTGTTCACATGACAAGCAGACATGAAAAGAAGAAAGACTGAGGGGTAAAAAGACATAAAATTAACAACACATAAATCAATATTATAAAATTTGTTTTTTAAAATAAACTATCATTAATTATTGTTAAAAAACAACTATTGCATTAAGTTAAAGGGTAACTGAAATGGTTTTTTGAGGTATCTATTTTATTGGCTTAATATGATTGCCTGAACTTTTTAATGAAGTATGACAACTCCCATTGTTCAAAAAAAATTATTCACTGAGATATGAGCTTTCAAAAATGCCCTTTTTGCTTCCTGCCATTTTACTTCCTGTCGGTGGGTGTGGCTAAACGTGACGTCATTTGGGCATAGATATTAGAGTTAAAAGGGATTGGAAACGGCTCACGTGATCCCATAGCAATGAATGGAGAATGTGCGTCGCAATCCGTGTCCAAAGAATTCAATTAATTTTTATTACCTTGAGGATCAAGCAGAGAAGTTTATCTAGGTTTATTTGCAAGATAGTTTGTAACTGAGGTAGCTCTTGTCGTTAGTAATGTTGTATACTGATATGACTATTTATAGAAATTTTAAAAATACATATTTACACCTGCAATCCATGTATAGATTGACTATTTTCAGTGATAACTTACATAAAAACAGTTTTGTACCTATAACTCACCATCAAAGGATAAACAATGAAAGTCTATAGCATACCAAGCAACTATAAGTAGACCTGCATGCCAATAGCACACTTTCAAATCTTATTCAATACTCTTGTAGTAGTAATGGAAACTTTCAGAGAAAATTTATTGTCTTCTTTTGTACCTCTACCAGCAGTACTGAAGATCCTATGGTAACAATTATTGCTACAGTGATTACTGAAGTGCTACTTTAGTGCAATGACTTATAATTTTACTTGTATGTTGTTCTTTATAGATCATGGGACAAAAAGTAAAAATTAGACATTTCAAAAACCAAATTCTTTTAAAAATATGATAACTTATTCCTATAAAAGATGCTGTCTATATTTCTGCTTTAGAATATACAAAAAAAATTAATTTTGAAGATAAGTTGTTAATTTCTAAAATGTGGCTGTGAAGTGTCACATGCATGTGCACATGATCAGTGCCGGAGCAAACCATAAGGCACTAAATATTATGATTGATTTTCATGCAGAAGAACTCTAGTCTTTATTGTTGTTCCATTTTGCCTTTATAAGAGGAAACTCTTTTGATATTTAGTATCCTTTTAACAACCACCAGGAGCACTAGAGGAGGCTTGCTGAATTCACAGAGCCATCTGGAGCCATTACTGCATACGGACACGGAGTGAAACAGGAAAGTGTGGGCGTTTCCAATCCCTTTTAACTCTAATATCTATGATTTGGGTCAGACTGGTGA